CCAAAGTGGGAACATTCATTCCCGCTTTGCGTTTCGGACGCAAAGCGGGAATGAACCCATTCATTTTTCTTCTTTTTTTTTTCCCGTTTCGTTTTTTTTTTTTTCCCGTTTTTTTTCATTCTTTCAGGCCGACGTTCGGGATGCCTGTGCCCGGTAGTCCGAGCCTCGGCACGGATCGGCGTACCGGTCGGTCGAGGCTCGGACTCGATAGCTGGGCCAGGTACTGGTGGTTTAAATCACTTTCCAATAGTGATTAGCACATCTCAACTGCGTAGTGGAACGACGCCGCCCTTGAGATTTTTTCAAGTCGAGGGTAGTGGAACGAGGCCCTAGAAGTCAGCGTAGCTCCACTACACCCTACAGTTTCCGCTCGCAAAAGGAGTGGGAACATGTGTTGCGCCATGGTTGGGTCAAGACAATGCAGATTGGAATTGAAAAAAAAAAGCCGGGGGGACCGAAAGCAACCTGTTGAAGCCGTTTTCAAGGGAATTCGGAGAATTCGAAGTCGCCGCTGGGAGGTGACTCGAAAATTGGGCTGGTTTGCCTGGGCGCCCTACAGCCGCCCTAGAGTTTCAGAGCGGGAATTTATTGCAGCAGGAACGTTAATCACTTTTAATGGTGATTAGCGAATCTCAAGGGTGTAATAGAGCGGTGCCGCCCTTGAGATTTTTTCAAGTCGAGGGTAGTGGAACGAGGCCCATAGTTTACGGGCTGGAAAAGTCCTGCGGGAAGGATTCTCGCCGCGATTTTGTGCCGAGTGCAGAGTGTGGAGGGGGGTGGCATCTTGAAAGTTTCCAAGGTTTCCTCCCCCAGTTGGGCGAGAAGGTGTCCGCCCACGTGCCTTGTGCTGGTCCGAGAACGTAGTGGTGTCGCCTACCTACCGCCGTACGGTGTCACAGGGCCACTCAGACAAACCACCACTTCCCTTTCCGGGACAGTGGGCAAGGATGTTTCTTATTATGGACAATTTGAAGTCATTTTGCCGCAAAAACTCACTCCGTAATGGGGTCCCCACAAAACTCTTTCCGGACTTTCCAAAATTCTTCCACCATATTTTTTGGGCAGACGTCTTTTCCAGTGAAATTTTTGTGGGGTCCAAGCCTGAGCAGGATTAGAATGTCGGCTGCTGTAGCACTTTCTTGGACGTACCTGACGGTAATTCCGAGCAGATTCTGTTGCAGAAGTGTCAGTGTGAGTCCGCTGCTGTACCCCTAGAACGTGCCGATGGTCACGGTTATGCCCAGTGTCGACAACCTTGAGATATCATCATTGGACTACCCGGTTCCTGTATGTACTGTTCAACTTTCCCTTTAAAATTCTATTTCTCAAAGTGGCCAATTGAAATCCAAATAGTACAGAAGTATGTGTTATTTGAACAAACAGGTGTTTTATTCAAATAAAACCCACAAGTGTTCTATTTGAATTACCATGGGCAGGTCTTTTGCTCAAGCATGAGCCCCGTTTTTTGTGTACAGTGTGTGCATTTACTTGCCAGGAATTCGGGCGGCCAGAGGCAGCTTGTTTAAAAACGTCAAAGTCAATCCTTTACATGAACAGAGTGTTGGAATCTGTAAGCGACATGGCGATTCTTAGAGCTTAATGGCAATGGCGGATCTTGGCGGTGGAGATCCATCGAGCGCACTAGGGGCTACACAGTTCGAATGCAACGTACAGCTGGTGTCGGGGCCAACTGTTCGAATAGTGGGCCCGGTGGCAATTAGGTCACAGTGTTCGAACAGTGGCCCCTTTTCGTCTCGAACGTTTTTTTTTTCCTAACACATTTGGACCATTTCTCGATTTATGCATGTCATCCTTGAGCAGGGGTCATGCTTATCTTCTCTGTATTGTTCCAGTTTTAACGGATGTCCCGAAGGATAAACCCTGTGTTTCCGTGGTATGACGCACGTACGGATAAAAGGTACTATTTGTATTCGGGGCCCCATTTTTGAAAGTCGGTACCATGTATCGTAGCATAACGCACATGCATTATATACGAATACAACGCACCATGTGCGTTCTATTCGTAATTAACGAACATCCGTTTTGTTCAGGGGAAGACTGTAGGTAGTTCAGAAGTATGTTATTTTGTCAATCTAACGGCATCGTGATTTGAACTTCGGTCTGTATTTCGACAATTCATCGGTATACCAACTGAGCTAGGCTCGGCCTAACTCACTTGGTAAGGCCCACAGGTGGCATTATGGAGGTCTTGGGTTCAATCCCCATTGACCTCATGTACCTTCCTGTCCAAGCCGCCACCTATAAATAGGTTGTTGGTCTCTAGGGGCGGCATTGAGCAGAGACTGCTGATGTCCATAGGGGGAGGGGACTGGAGGGGAGGTAGAGTGACTGACCCATCGAAGAAGCTCAGCCCTTGTGCTATCTGTTGACCCCTGGCCAGTATCGCCCACAGCATGTTAGGTGCAACCCCTCATGCTCCCTCTTTTGAGACTTAAACTCTGGTTGGCTGTTATAGGGTCCACCGTAATACTATAATGATAATAAAAAAGGTTTGAAAAGGTTGTCCTGTCCAGATTTGATGGATAAACGAATTAGTTTTTTTTTCAAAAAAATAA